CCCCCAGGGGCCTTAACACATGTTGTGCCCAGGGGCCCCTGAAATGATAATCCGGCCCTGCCTGGAGTGTTCTCGGACATTTTAGCTGCGTCACATTCTGCTCAGTTGTTTCCTGCTGGACAGCTCTGTGACAGCTGGCAAAAAAAGTCCAGTTCCGGGACTCTCCTCGGCTCAGCTCTTCAAACCTCCATCCTCTCAGTGCTGACTGGCACTGATCTCAATCGGCTCTCAGATAGCCATTCTCCTTTCAGCGCTTAGGCTCAGAGTGTAGGAGGGACTCAAGTAAAAGCTCCTCACTACCACAGCATCGTGCAGCAGGAGAAGGGTGGGGATTGGATCCATTCAAAGCTTTTCTCAAGGCTTTTCTTATCTCTCCGAGGCGCGTGTGGTCTCGTCCGCCCTGGTGTTGCGGAAGAAGAAGATGAGTCGACCGGTATGCTGCGCGGTGAGTTTATATTTGTGCAGCCAGGGTAGGCATTTTCTTAGGGATTAGTAAATAAATAAATAAATAAATAAATAAATAAATAAATAAATAAATAAATAAATAAAAAGCGGATTGTGCATGCCCTGTCCACCCTTCCGCAAAGCAGCTTAAGCTCTATCCACTGCTGGATTCAAATAAAACGTGCAGGAGCATCCCGGTGAGATTTTGCCTCTTCTTAAAGCTAGCGAAGAAAACTATCTGTTTGCTATGAAATGATAAATTTAACCAATTGATTTTGTCTGTTCGAAAGCAAAGAGCTCTGTCATGATTTAAACGTGGGGTGATTCTTAATTGGATACGGACGTATTTAGCTAATCATCGACCTATAAGCATTATTAAGTATCCCTTTAACGTGCGCTTTAATTCTGCATGATGACAAACATGCGGATCTAGCGCTACTTCCTTAGTTTTTGTTATATTTTCTTTTAATATTTACACTTCAACAAGAATAATCTGGTTAGGTTGTAGTATTTATTTCCAGGTCTCTGTGTGTTTTGTGTTCAAGGATGGTGTGGAGTGAAAACACGGCGGAGGTAAGGCTCAGAGTGAACCCTCGGGTGGCGAATGGCTTCTGCAGGGCAGCTTTCTGAGGACGAAGGGGGCAAAGAGCCCGACATTCCTGGTGTCCTTGATCGGGTTTCCTTCGCGCTGCACGCCCGTAAGTCTGGTGGATCGACAGGAGATGCGCCCCCTTGGGACGGGGTCGGAATTCCGGGCAGAAGCAGCCACTTGTGTGTTTCAGCGCAGAGGACAGTGCCACGCAGGGCGGCCGCTGAGGGGAGGATCGGCCCCCTCGTTGAGCCGAAAATCCGAATTTGTTGCAATGAGGAGTTGGAGACATCTTTTACTATTATTGATGAAAATGTGAACCTGCGGTTGGGCAGCCCGGACAGCAGCTGTAAAAGTACTCTGTGGCCTGTGCGCAACGAGGAGCCGTGTTCCGAGACTTTCCAGGAAATGTCTTTCATTTCTGAGGATGACCTGTCCTTCACGGAGAGCTCTGGGACTTCTGTAGACTACGGCTTCATCAGCGCAGTCACGTTCCTGGTGACAGGGATCTCGCTGGTGATCATCTCCTACACAGTGCCTCGGGACGTGGTGGTGGACCGTGACATTGTGTCGGCGCGCGAGATGGAGAGACTGGAGATGGAGAGCGCGCGGATCGGCGCCCACCTGGACCGCTGCGTCATAGCCGGGCTTTGCCTGCTCACTTTGGGTGGCGTGGTGCTCTCCACGCTGCTGATGATCTCCATGTGGAAGGGGGAGATGTACAGGAGGAAGCTCGTGGCTTTCTCCAAACGTTCGGCCAAACTGTATGGCTCCATCAGCCTTAAAACCAGGTCCAGTCCGAGCCACTCCTCTGCGCACCTGTCTTTAGAGGAGGAAGCAGTAGAAATTTGGAATTGAGTTGCTGTTCTGTTTCTGCAAATAGCCTCTGTTTAAATGAGGATTAATGCCATTCACACACTTTTTTCTGCCTGTGTGTGTGTGTGTGTGTGTGTGTGTGTGTGTGTGTGTGTGTGTGTGTGTGTGTGTGTGTGTGTTAGAAATTATCTCATAAACAGAGGACATACGTTATTGAAACTCTCACAATGAAATCACTGGCTTTACATGTGATTACCTTTTGAGGACAAGTTTAAGATGGCTGCCACAGCTATTTGAAAAAAGATGGCTATTAATCAGTCAGTTTTACAGATATTGAGCTGAAATTTGGTGTGGTGTTAGCTGAGAGTTATGAACACATAAAGTACTTTGAGTGCTAATACCCTGTCTCTTGACATCTGTTTTATTTTTTTAAGGTTTGATCAAAACAGCCACATATTGCACTTTGATCATTTGTAGGCAGCAGGTAACTTGAACTATTTCAAAGAATGTTAGGCCTTAAATTCAAACAGGCTATACAAATATGCGTTATGTTTTTCTGTGTTATTTATCATAACAAATAGAAGAAGCAAAGTAAGAAGAGTGAAGAGAGATCAGTCACAAAAACATTGTTATTAAATTGCTTGCAAATAATCTAGATGCCAATAAAATGAAGAGTCTAAGTGCATTCTGAGCTCATAGTGACTGGCAATGGATCAAATTTTTTGCGGCCTCTGAGAGTTTCTATTTTTAAAAGGGTCATTCATTTTTAATGTGAATGTTTCCAGTAGGAAAGCTGCACATAGACACATTTCAGGAAAAAAAAGAATGTGTCTGTCCCCAGGGCATATGAGTGGGAGTAAGCAGGGCTGTAAAGCTGTCCCTGTCTGCTTTGAAGTAAGAGAATCAGCTCAGTGGTCAACATGGTAATATCCAGTGACAGTTCCTCACTGCTCCACTACTGAGGTCTGATGCATCTGAGTCAAAGCTACACTGGATTGTTGTAAGCATTTTACTGCATTTCCTTATCATCAAGGTCTCCATCCTCCTGCATATATATTATATATTAAGTGTTCCTTTCGACTAAAAATTCTAAATTTAAAATGGAATATTTTGTAAAACGTATAAATTAAAAAAATGTAAGAATTAACATATCTCATAAAACCATATTTTATTCACAATAAACAAATCAAATGTTTAAAGGGATCCCTAATTAGTTGTAACATTAGACTTTATTTGATAAACATATATTTTAACTGCAAAATAAAGACTGTAAAAATACTGTAGGCTTTTTAATTTTTATCATTTTTAAACTTAAGGTTTAAAAATATAGTACATGGACAGGGCCATTTTATTTACATGCAAAGCATTCTGAGTAAATGATGGCATGGATAGGTCCTCAGTGTGAGGCTGCTAGCAAGCTATATCCACCCTGAAATTTAATCTCAGAAAATCTCTGATGATTCACTCTTTTAAATGAAACCAGAGAGTGTTGACGGAGAGGAGAAGGCAGAAATGACTCAGACTGTAACTAAAAATATACTGTAGATGGAGGACAACAGAGCTGCTTCATGGAAGAAGAACCTCAGCTTAGCCTGTTAGCTTTAGCGTTAGCCCCAACGCTATCACCATGTATATGTATTAGCTCAGCACTAAACACTCCTCTCGTCACTGTGGTCCTCCATCCACATGACAGAGAGGGGAATGCAAAAATGACTCAGCCTGCAACTGAAAATATGGATGGAGGACCTCAGTTTAGCTTGTTTCTCGCGCTTGCGCTGAACTAATACATATAAGGCAATATAGCGTCGGTGCTAGCACGAGCGCTAACAGGCTAAGCTGAGGTTCTTATTCCATAAAGAGCTCTGTTGTCCTCCATCCACATTTTCAGTTGTAGACTGAGTTGTTTCTACCTTCTCCTCTCTGTCAACGCTCTCTGGTTTCATTTAAAAGAGAATCGTCAGATATTGTCCAAGTTTAACCTTCAGGGTGGATATAGCTCGCTCACATCGATAACCTATCCATGTCATGATTTACCCAGAATGTTTTGCGTGTAAATAAAATGGCTCTGTGTTTTTTTTTTTTTTTTTTTTTTTTGATTTACAAAACTAAACGGTATTCTTACGGTCTTTATTTTACAGTTAAACTATATGTTTATCAAATAAAGTCTAATGTGACAACTAATCATGGATCCCTTTAAGCTAGGAAATTGTAAACATTTTTTGAAAACATTTTGTAATATATGTTAGCAACAATTCACAAACGTTGGGACAGGGGGAAACAAGGTTGTAAGTGTTATGAATAAAAACAGCTGGAGGTGCATTTTGCAGCTAATTAGGTTAATTAACAACAGAGGGTCATTTCACAAAAGTCAAATTTCTAAATTCAGGACATGAGCTGTAAGCTGAGCTTGAACAAGCCTTCAACTTGTCATCAGCTGTAATCTGTTGCTCTAACACCAAGCCACGCTCAGTTAAGGTGGATCATTAAAGCCAGCTGTAAATGGTTTAGGATTAATGCACGTTCACGGTTTGCTTAAGCCTGCGTCACACCAAAAGATAATCATGCCGATTTTTGCCCTTCTGACAATCTTAAGGAAGTCCAGCTTATCATGATGGCTCTAGATAATCATAGCAGATATTCCTGCTGTGGGTGGTGAGTTAAGAGCGATCTAGTCGGCTCGGAAGGACGTCGGGACTGCTCCGACCTCAAATAGGGGATATTCAACATGTTTGATTTTTTGCCTCGATATCACAGTGTGTATTGTTCACCCGAGCTCGCAACCTGTTGAATGAGATGTCTAAGCCAATCAGAAAGCGAGGTGACGTAAACACGGAGGGGATTCCAAAATACAGAAGACAAAATACTGTCATAACTCACCAGAAAGTCCATTGGATGTTAAAAGTCCTATGGAATTGTTTTCCTCTGGTAAAAATAGTCCACAAACGATCAACATTGTTTCTTCCTCGGACATCTGAATTCTCCCAAGATTTCAGGAAGTCTCGTGATTTAATATCTGACATCTGAATGTTCATACCACCCCATAGTTATCTCTGACCATGCACCTCTATCCTTAGATGTCTTATTTTCCTCTGGTTTCTCACTATCCCACTCAGTGGAGGTTTGTTGTTTCACTTTTATCAGATGCTAAATTTCACAAATTTATCACAAGTAAAATTGATTACTTTATCGCTCTAAACCAATCTGATTCTGTCACAGTCTCAAATTCTCTGTTGTGTGAATCCTTAAAAGCCTTCAAGGTCAGATTATCTCATACTCTGCCAATTTGAAAAAGATTTGGTTGAGTAAAATTCAAAAACTTTCTGCTGATTTGTTTGACATAGACCAGCAGCTTGCTGCTGCTCCTTCTGCTGACACCTTAAAGAGGAACTTACCCCAAAATAAACTTTTTTTAGCTGATAAACTGTCTAGAATGTGTCTAAAATGTTATATAGTACTGTTTCTGTGCTAATTTTGATGTTTTTGTGCATATTTGTTCAAATCTAATATTTGATCTAAAAACGTCTTTTTGCTGCTCATATGGGTTGAGCAGTGGTACTGCAGGCTAATTTGCATATTGGTTAACGCTCTCCATGGTGACGCGTCTTCACCACTGTTTTGTCACAGCGGCCGTGTTCTGATATGAAAGCCTCTCTCTAAGATACGCCCCTGCAGCAGTCAGGGGTTGGAACAGCTAGCATAGCATGATCGTCTGGTCTGTTGACTCTCCTTCAGCCTCTGGTGGGGAGAGGAGGAGGGGGCTGACTGCTGCGCCGCTCTCTCTCTCTCACACACACACACAGACACGCATGCCCCAGCCCGCTGTACGTCCTGTGTGTAGAACACACACGGGAGGTGGGAAAAAAAGGCAGAGTGGCGCAGCAGGGCGGTGAGCTGCATGCCCTCAATCAGCTCGTCATTGTTAAATGCAAAACAGCTCAAACCGGACCCGAACTTCAGTCAAACAAGACCCAACACTTTTATTCCTGATCTAAACTAGTGATCTTGTGAGCAGCTGCAGCGTAGGTTTTATTTTTTTCTGTTAGGCTGTCGGGGCACTCCACCTCCTCATTCCGGGGCTGGTGTAGTGTGGGGCAGACAGAGCTCAGCCAAGGCTGCGGTAAAGAGCTCCGTGTCCTAATTCAAGGAGACATCACGAGTCTGACTTGATCATTTTAAATGAAATATGTCATGAATCATTGTGTGTCATGAAACTTTACTTTTTACAAAACGTCCTGATGCATCTCAGTAATCCAGGTAAAAAAATCAAAAAGAAAAAAATTGTATAGGTCTTCTGGACGGGTTCTTCTCTAATGAAATGTTTCGTCTCTCCTCCAAGAGACTTCTTCAGTCTGAGAGTTTCAGGCAAAATTCAGGCTTTTAAGCCCTGCCTCCATGTGACTGATACTCACACAAACACAGGAGCCAGGGAGAAAGAGAAATCACACACACGACAGGCCCTGGAGCAGTGTGGTTATCCTGAC